TTTTTTTTTCTTGTTAAATGAAAACAGACACACACCGACGTGCGTATGCGTCGCCACTGTGTAGTTTAGCTGCGGCAGGCCGGAGTGGCACGGAATAGCTGCCGCTGCGCTCACACCTGGTCCAAGTGGGACTGGGGCGCGGCGCCATGCTTGAGCACGTTCTTGTAGTACTCGTACTTGGGGTCGCTGGTGCAGCGCTTCAGCACGTCCATGACAGGGCCGAGGCACATCTCGAAGTGGCGGCGGTTCAGCTTTGCCGTGATGACGTGTGTTGTGGCGACGACGTCGGCGACGGCGCGGTGGTTGTTGAGGAACTCAAGCTCGCCAATGTGGTCGCCCTGCGTGAACTCACACACCTTCGTCGGCGTGCTGTTGGCGTCACGGCCAATCACCTCCACAGTGCCCTCCATGATGATGTACAGCCACTCGCCCTCCTCGCCGTAGTGGATGATATAGTCGCCAGGCGAGAACTCGTCGTTGCTGAGGGCGTCGGCGAGCTGCAGCTTCTCGTAGCTGTCGAGGCCACCGAGGAACGGCACGTTGGCGAGGAACTGGATGTACGTCTCGCGCCGGCGAATGGCGGTGCCCATTACGAGGTGGCGGTACGTCTCGCGGTCGAGCACCCACGCAACGAGTTCATCGGTGCACACCTTCACGGTTGCCACAACAGGGGTGTCGTACATCAGCTCAAGCTCGCCTACCGCAGTGCCCTCCGTCTTGAGGTAGACCTTCTGCCCCTCCTTGATGATATCGGCGTTACCGGACTGGATGATGTACAGCTTGTCGCACGTCGTCTCCCCCGCCTCCATGATACAGTCATCGCGCTTGAACACTACCCGCTGCATAGCGCCCGCCACCGCCTTGATGTCCTTCGTGTTGAGGAATGAGAAGAGCACGTTGTGGGTGAGGAGCTCCGTGATGAGCCTCATCTCGTCCTCACTCTTCTCGAAGAACGGGGGCTTGAACTGTTTCGCCTTCTCCGGATCGATGCCCTCGCTGCGGACGGTGCGGCGGCGGTTCTTGCCACCGCCGATGGTGGTCAAGTCGGCGGGCGCCTGCGTCGGCACCCACACCAGCCCCTCACCGAAGGCGCGATCCTCCTCATGCGCCTCCGACTCCTGCGCCTCCCACAGCGCGACGGTGTTCTTTTCGCACTGCTGTGTAATGCGCTTGCGCAGGTCAAAGTCGACGCGCGTGTCGTTCAGCTCAATGCGGCAGATGCGGCGGTTTACCTGCGTCAGCACCAGCAGCTTTCGCCCGGCGTAGTTGGAGACAGGGTTGTGGCTCATGTCGAGGGCGTTGGCGGTGGGGTGCACCTTGAACACCTCCACGATGCGGTCTACCGTGGCGTTGCCCCTAACACTGTCGTCGCTGAGGTCGGTGTTGTAAAGCTTTTGGTTAGAGCAGTTAAAGAAGCGGAATGCGGGCAGGCTCTCAATGACCGTGAGCACGGCGAGGATGCCGCGATTGCCGATGTAGTTGTTGCTGAGGTCGATCTCCTCTATCTGCGCCGGCGACGGGTTGCTGCGGAAGAAATCCATGAGGATCGTGTTAGGCTGCTTTACGCCCTCCTTACGGCAGGCATCGAGAAAGAGGCTAAGCGTGTTCCCTTCACCAGACATCGTTGCCGCACTACCCTGCGTGTGTGTGTGTTTGGGTGTGTCTGTTGGAATTGATAGGCTGATTGTGTCTTGACTTGATTGGAGTGGATGCCCGTGAGTGCACCTTTCCCGTCGGCCTGGTAAGACTTTGCTTTACGCGTGTAACTGAGTGGTTTTGTTTCCGCGGCGCCAGCAAAGCACAGCAGCAGCAGCAGACAGGGGGGGGGGAGGGAGAGAAGGCAGCAAACAGAAGGACAAAATAAAATTAAAAAGAAACAAGAACGGCAGGAGCAAAACCAACCAAGAGAGCACAGGCACACGAGAGCGGAGATGCACCTCACCACAGAAGCATACACCCAGCACCGGTAGAATCAGGTGAGCACCGCCAAGGAGGGGGGAAGAGGAGGTGATGGTGGTGGAAGCGAGCGAGCCCCACACAAAGAGGCGGCCTAGTAGTGAAACAGCGTGCGGTTGTACACACGACGGCCGTCGGCGTCTCGGACCCAAAAGCGCTCGTCGAAGGAGCCCGGTTTGCCGGTGCCGCTCGGCGCGTCGCTCTTAAACAGCAGAAGAGAACCAATGAACTCCGACGGCGGCGGCACAAACTCCAGCGGCCCATCATTTTCACCGTTGTTGCTGTTGTTATTGTTATTGTTGTCTGCAGCTTTGCGCTTGGTGCTAGCCACGGGTGCGGCGACGTCTGGCGTCGTGCGCGCGTAGAAGCAGCGCTCGTCGTTGAAAGCGTAGAAGCGGAGATCCTCCATGTGAATGCAGCAGCAGCCCGCAAGGACCTTCGCGTGGATGCCGCTAAACGGGACGGGCGCAGCAGCGTCGGCGCCACCGCCAGCGTCCCCCTTCTCCCCACCATTCTCCGTTGCGGTTGGTGGCGCCGATGCCACTGTTGCTGTTTCTTTTGTGGGGGCAGTGCCGCTGTGCTGCAGCAGCGCGGCCGTCACGCGCCGGCGCCAGTATGCCATCAGCATCGCCTGCCCGTGTGGCGAGAAGGGACGCGAGATGGCGCCGCCACGTGAGCCGCACGCCTCCGCGCAGCCGCAGAGCCGCTGCCGCAACGCCGTGAGGCTGTAAGCGACGTCCAGCATGAAGAAGCCGAGGCCTTGCTGCTGGAACACCGGAAGTGTGACAATGCAGGAGAGGCAGTGGTCGGGCGTGTGCTTGATGCGGCTGAAGTAGCCGACCACAACGTCGCCGTCCCATTGCGCCTCGTCGAAGTGGGCCGCCTCGCGCCGGAATGCCGCCTCGTCCATCTCCCCAACCACATACGGCAGCGATGCCCGCGGTGTGGTGACCACGAAGAACTCGTAGATGTCCACGTCATTCTCCACCTGCTTGCTCTCTAGAAAGGACTTCCCGAGGAGGCACAGGCAGCGGCCGTAGTGCAGCTGTTGTGCGCCGTCCACATAGTACACGCGGCGGCCGCATTTCGTATCGTCGTACAGCAGCACGCCAGGCGGGCGGCGGCACTGGCAGTAGCCGAGCAGATGTTCCTGCAGCTGCTGCTGCGAGACAAACGGGGAGAGACAGCGATGGCACACAGACACAGAGTAGCAAAGGTGACGGTCCGGCATCTGCACATACTGCAGTGACGCGAACGGCGACTGAAACCACGGCCGGCTCGCGTAACAGAGGTACAGCAACTCACATGGCGACGTGTCCTGCTCCATCGCGACACGCCACTCGCGCGGCAGCGGCTCCAGTGGGTCTTCGTCAATCTTGTAGAGGAATATCTCATCGTACCAGCCGTCAAAACTGTACTTGAAGCCACCAGCGGAGCTAAGCGCGTGCGGCCCCACCGAGAGCTCTTCCCGCTTCTCGCGCCGATGGTGCTGCAGCAGGCCGCCACTGCTGCTGCCGCCGCTCCGCTCCGCAGTCACTGCGTCAACAGAGCGCTCTATGCGGATGGTGTGAAAGTAGTAGAGCACGCGGGTGGCGTCGTCCAGGTGGCGGCGCTCGCCCACGACGACGCCAATCACCGTGGCGTACGGTGACTGGCTCTGCTGCTGCGAAGGCGACGCGTCCCATGTTGAGACATCAAGCCGGCACCTCTCCCCATCGCGCATCAATGCCCACCCACCGCGAGTGGATGTAGTGAATCTGTATCAACACCTGCAGGCGCACACACACACACATGACATATTTACACAAATGCACACCATGTGTGAGTGTGTGTGCGAGTGAGGGAGAGAGAAAGAGCAGAGGGAGAAGGACGGGTAGAAAGGATGTGAGAAACAAAAACCGGGTTGTAATTACACTGTGGGGTCACTTGCATGCAGCCCTAGCCATGCATATCTCTCTGCGATCACACACACACACACTCTCTCTATATATATACGGGTATCCACAGCCAGGCTCCCTCGCCCCCGCGCTACGCCGACTCCGCGAGGAGCTGCGCCACGCAGCGCGTCTGTGGGTCGTCGGCGCCGTAGAGACGTGTGCGCAGCTCGAGCGC